CTTTCTCTAGCTCTTCCTATGGCTGGCTCCTTCTCATCATTTGAGTCTGAAGTTCAATGTTATGCTCACGGAGAGGCCTTCTCTGACTATTCCATCCAGAGAAGGTTTCCCTCTGACAGTCTCCATTCTGGCTTTTTGTTTTCTTCATTGTTCTTACCACATTGTGCTTATTCGATTGTTTATTTTAGTGTCTTGTCTACTGTTTGTCTCCTTAGTACTTGGTGCATAGTTAACATGCCATAAAGAGCGTGTTGTGTGTTGATGTTGATAATAGGCATGGTATTCCCAGAACTATGCTGAGCATTAATTCACAACCATGTTCTGTGGCAGGAAGGACGAAGATTATCTTCATATCTCAGATAAGAAAAGTGAGGCCCAGAAAGGTTAGGGGACCTGTCTGAGGCCATCTCCCTTCTCAGAGGTGGAACCCAGGTCTCCTGACTCCTGGTCGAGTGCTCAACAGCAGAAGTAAAGAGTGATGTATTCTGAAGGAGAGGTGTGTGGTAGTGTCAGGCTAGGTCGCAGTTCCTAAATTCTCCATCTTCACCCACTAATTTTTTTATTGGGAAGCCTGACTTCCACATCCTTGCCTTCAGAAAGGGATAAGAGAGAAGGGGGTACAGTCTGAGCTCTCCGGGGTAGGAGCAGCTCTTCTGCCTTTTTCTAGGGGACACATTCCAGGAGCTGGGCTTGGCCGCTTTAAATACCATAGAGATGAGCTGGGGGCAGTGGTGCTGTGTGAGCAGGCTGGGATGCTGGAAGGCTGGCTCTGGCTGGTCCCTGGGCTTCATCTGCATCAGAATGAAGTCTGCAACAGTGTGTAGATCCAAACCCACCTACACACACTGCATGTCTTTGTGTGTGTATGTGTGGGGGGCGAGGTTTGCAGAGTGGGGTGGGTTGTTCAGTTGTGTTCTGATATTTGAGATGAAGCCAGAAGCACGCATCTTTGTCTGCATTTAAAATTTTTGGTAAAAAGTTAAAATTTAGCTTTTTCTTGAATCTTTCCAGAAAAAAGTGCAAATAACATTAAGCATGTTGTCTCGATTTTCTGATGATACAAAGGACGCAGATATGATAATGTCCTTTATGTTTAAGGGGCCCGGCGATGGCTTAAACATTGATAGGATCAAGTCCAGATTGACCAGTGCATTCAAGGCCCTTCACACCATGGCCCACCCTCCCATTCTACCTGCTCCCCAACACCTCTCACCACTCCCCAAATGTGCTCTTTCTCTGGCTTAACCTTGTTCCCGCAGCTGGTCTGTCTGTCCTCCTGGAGTCCCCTACTTGCCCAATAAGACTCAGTACAAAGGTCCTGGCCCTTATGAAGACTTGGCTGATCCCCCAGACTTAGTCTCTCCACGTTCTAAGACCTCAGGGCAACAGGTTACTATTTCCATTATTGAACCTGTTATGGGTCTTCGACGCATGTTTACATGTGAGCCCCGCAAAGCAGATTGGGGTCTTTACATAAATACGCAGTGTCTGGCACATCCTAGATGCTCAAAAATGCTGGGCGTAGTCAAAAGCACCGCGGTTAAGTGCCCGTGTCCTGGAGCCAGAGGCCTCTGTCTGAATCCTACTGCTGCCTCTTCCTTCCTGTGTTCCTCTGAGCCTCAGTCTCCTCATCTGTAAAATGGATCAGTGATGGCACCCACCTCACAGGGTAATTGGGGGGGTGGTTTGGGAAGATGAATGATGGATGTAGATCACTCAGCACACTGTCTGGTCCCCAGCAAGGGCCCCGTAAATGGCGGCTATTACTAATATGAAACCCGAGGTCTGATCGCCTGCCTCCCAGGAAGAAGCCCTGGTGTTTGGATCCACCCCTTGTTCTGAGGGACCACAGACTCTTAGATGGGCTTCCATGCTGGTACTTGGGCTTGGTGAGGGCAGGTGCGAGCCTTCCTGCCCTTAACAGACCCACTGCTTCTCTGCAAGGCTGTGTTCATAAACGCTGGCCAGGCCTGCCTGCCCCTTCCTGCACTCATTCCACATGCAAAAAGTCTTACAAGGATTTTAATTAAACCACACACAATTCAGGGCGTCAGGCCCTATCCATTTCAAAAAAACCACCTGGGATTGTGAGGGACTAAAAACATCAGGAATTTACCCAAGGAGATGCCAACAGAAGGGACAAGGGTGACAGCTGCCCTGAGGCCAGGAGGGTGCAATGAGGGGACAAACAGGTTCTTTCAGCCCTGACCTCAGGGAAGAACATAATTCTTCAAGATCAAGGGAAGAGGCTCAGAAGCAGGGATGGACGGGTGTTGACGACCCTGCTTAACCTGTAAAAGATGAGTGGGTCCCCATGTTCACGAGCTGGGAACATGGGGTGCAGACAATGGGGAAAGGGTGCTTTCCCATGGTGTACCCATTCCCAGGCCACTTCCCAGCAGCCCTGGGGTGCTAGGATCAGGCACAGGTACAACTGCTCTTTTGCCTCCTTCCATGGGGCCTGCTGCTCTCTGTGCAGAGAAGAGAGAACACTTATCCATTTCTTCCCTCAGCCCAGCCCACACTTCCATCCAAAAGAAGCCTGGTTTGTGGGGACAAAGCTGAGCTGCCTGACCTGGGGCCCAGAGATGGGAAGTCTCCTAAATTCCTTCAGTTGGCCTGTGGTAGGGTCACACCCCCATCTCCCTGAGTATAAGTGAAGATTTACTGGCTTCGCCATACTGTCCCTTAAAGGTTGTGGTCCATCCCCAACCCCAAAAGTCATGTGGAGGTAGAAGGCTCTGGGAGGGAGACAAGAGGGGGTGCTGCTCCTCTCCTACTCCCCGAGAGCTATGCTCTTCCAGAGAACCTAGTTGGCTATTCCCATGGGGGTCCCTCCTCCCTAGGGGAACACAAACCCCCAGGAATAGGAAAGGGGTTACAGACAGGATTGGCAACGTTCTGACATTAATTGAAAACATTGGTTCCATTTTGACCACCAGATTCCCATGAGTTCTGTAAAGAATTCCCCTCCAGGCCATGCTCTCTGAGTCCAAAGGGACAACTTCACTGCAGTCATGGGCATTTTCCCCAGGCCGGGCTGTCCCAGAGTCCCCGAAGGAGCTCACACCCCTAGGCTGCTTTTCTCGTCCTCTTTGGGGCTGGGGTCCTCCTGAATCTTCTTCATCTCCCAGCCCCTGACCCAGGTGTAGGCAGAGGAGCCCCCTAGCACCATCATGTTGCTCGTCCACCAGAGGAAGCTCTTGGTCTCCTCGTAGTAGAGGACGGCCAGCACCGTCTGGGCACAGGCCTTGGCTGTGCCCGACACGTTGTGCGTCAGGGGACTGGTGAACTTGATCTGCAGTCCTGTCACATAGCCAATGGCGAAGCCAAACAGGCCTCCCAGCGTCATCATGCCCCAGAAGTGGGCGCTGCCCAGCTGGGCAAAGTGGCAGAGGGCCTGAAGCTCCCCCAGCAGCAGGAGCAGGGGCAGGAAGAGGACGCAGGCGTTGACATTGTTGTAAAAGGTCAGGCGCCAGATGCTGCCGTCCACCGCCGGGAGCACTTTCTTGGTGTAGATGGCGTTGAGCGAGACGCAGAGGCTGGCGAGTATGCCGAAGAGGGTGCCCGTCCAGGACAGGGTGCCTTCTGCTTCCTCCTGGTCCACACCAAGCCAGAAGCCGCCTGCAGCAGGGAGAGGAGAAGGGCGAGGGGGATGAGGACGGGAGGAAGAAGGATGGAGAATTTTGCCACCAAAGTTCACAGACTGTAATGCTGCCCTCACCCTCGCATCCTTTCCGCTCTCCCTGCAATAAATGTGTCCTTGCAAAGCGCCATGCAAGGGCTGGGGAAGTGGCCCAGGACATGAGCCCTTCTCATGGAGCTTGCTTTCTAGCAGAGGAGAAAGATGTTAAAATGATTCATTTCTCAATTACTTCTTTAGTGACAATTGTAATGAGGTCTATAAAACAGTACAGGCTGCTGTGAGAACCCATGACTGGGTGACTATGCTGGCCTGGGGAGTCTGGAAAGTAACATCTGAACTGAGTTCTGAAGGATGAATACTTAGTGGTTAGGGTGACCTTGGGCAAGTGATTTAAAGTCTCAGAGGCTTGGCTTCCTTGTCTGTAAAATGGGAGCCTACAATGAGTTAGAATCATCTGTGGCCCGAGGTCATCTGGGACAGTCACACATTCTGAGACTCTCATCTTGTGTCACCTCCTACTCACAGAGCCTCCGTGGCTCCACTGCCCACCATCAAGTCCACACTCCTCTGCCTGGCACCTGGGCTTCCTGTACCTTTGCCAGCTGCCTCTGTCCCACGATCACCCTGAGTCATCTCTCTCATCCCCTGCTTCTCACGCTGTGGCTCAGTGTCCTTGTTCATATCTTGCACCAGAAACACCCTCCTCCTCCGAGAGTTTCTATTCATTCTTCAAGGTCAAAGTTGGCCTCTCTAGAGCAGAAGTATTTCCTGATATCCCCAGCCCCCAGACCTCTTCCTGCCTGCACTTTCCTTTAAGATTCCTGTGTTGCTAGGCACCTGCCCATGGGGACAGTACAGTCTCTTAAGCTAGACCCCACCTTCTCAGAAGGCGGGGCTGAATCTTCCACATGCTGGGTGGCCCGGGACAAGTTTACCTAACCTCTCTGAGCTCCCATTTCCTTCGGCTGCAGAGATCTGGGTCAGTCTCTTGACCCCCTCTCCAACCAATCTACTCTCCATCTTGTAATCGGAAAGATCGTCGTGAAGTACAGATTTGCTCAGCTCCTGTCCTGAATTAAAGCCCCTCCATGCCACCTCGCTGCTCTCAGGAAATATTTCAGACTCACTTAATCTGGGCAGCCTTGTGTCTGGCGAGTCTCACTCGGGCCCGGCATGAAGAAGTACACATGTTCTTTCTTCTGCCTAGAACATTCTCTCCTCACTCCTTCCTTACATCCATCTAGTACTTCCTTCAAGAAGGCCTGCTTGGATGGCCTCCCTCCCCAACCACCTCTCCCTCCCCACCCCAATTAACATTTGTTGAAAGAAAAAATGAGTGAATGAAGTTGTTTTGGAGGTGGTTGTGAAGATTAGAGCCAAGGCTCCTACTACTTTGTAGGGACTCATTCCCAGCATCCTCTTTCTTCGCAAGGCCTTTGCAAACAGGTGACCCACAGACCTGTTCAGGGGACATGGGGTGGGGGTGGGGGGCTTAGCCAGAGCATTCCCAGCCTCCTGCTGGTTACCTTCCAAGTCCAGGAGGGACTGCTGCCTCAAGTTTCCAAACCCCAGAGGGACTCTTGGCCAGAAGGAGTTTTGAAAGGTACAGTGTGACCTGGGGTGCAGGAGGAGGAGGAGACCTGGAGTAGTTGCTTGTTACCCATCTTTGCCCACAAGGAGCAGGGAAGGGGGAACACTGCAGTGAGGGGCCAGGTCCTAGGCTCCCCTGGCCCCTGCCCCACCAGGCCAGCCAGCAAATGCAACTTCTCAGAACCTATCTCGCCATCAGCTACTTTGATTACTTTTCAGACTTGGGCCTAGTTTCCCGAGTGCTGTCACCTTCCTGCATGCAAATTTTCCCACCAAGAACACCCTCCCAAAATACACACACACACCCCTAAAGTGTAGATCCCTGGGGCATTTGGAAAAGTGTGGGAGACTGTGAGGCCTCCCCCAGATGGGAGGGTGGGTGCGCACAGCAGCTGAGAGAGATCTGCCAGGGGGCTTAGCAGTCCTTCCGCTTTAACCCCCACCCTGCTCCCCTCTATGCTCCCAATCTTGGGCTAGACTGAGCAGCCTTGGATCCAGCAGTTGCTCAACAAAGGGAACAATTTCTGGGGCAGGTGGCATGGGATAGGCCCCCACTCCTGCAGCCAGTGCACTGTGGCCTGGGCCTCTGAGACACCAGCAAAGAATATGTAGGTCAGTGAAGACGAACCTTACGGCACCAGGAAAAACCTGAACAGGTTTAAAGAAAGATCTCATTCCTGGGTGACAGAGCCCCAGGAGGGGTAGGGCATGCTGGGGGTGCTCTTACCCAGTGTGCTACAATGAAACAATAAATGTTCTATAATCTGTGTTGTCCAGTACAGTCACCACTGGCCACATGTGGCTACTGAGCACTTGAAATGTGGCTAGAGAATCAGGTTACAACGCCCATAACTGAGAAACTGAATTTTCAAAATTTCATTTAATTTGAATTGCACTGAGTCTTCACTTAACGTCCATAGGTTCTGCAACTGAATTGCCATATAACTAAACCGATTTTGCCATAGGTTAATTGATATAAACAAGAGTTAAGTTCCCATGCATCTCATCAATGGTATAAGGAAACGATGTTATTTGAGGACCTGATGGAATTTAAATTGAAATAGACATGTGGCCACTGACTATTGTATTAGATAGTGCAGCTTTAACATGTAGGGGACAAGGACAGAGTGGTTAGAAGCACAGGCCCAGCAGTCTGGCCAGTCTGTGTTTGCATCTCAGCCTGGCTACTTCCTAGCTGTGTGGCCCTGGGCAAGTAACTTAACCTCTCTGAGCGTCAGTTTTCTTGTTTGAATGGAGATGATCATGGTGATGCTACTACCCAGGGACCTTTTGGGAACAAAGGAGATGATACAGGTGAAATGATTAATGCAATGTCCTCATCAATAACTGTTATTTTCTGAGGGTCAAGTCTGTGAAGACAGCTAAGGCATATCTCAAAGCATATCTCTTGACACTGTCTCAGGTGTTATTGTGAGCCTGCAAGGTCAGTGTGATCGAATATTTATTAAAGGGTGCACTGTTTTCTAGAAAGACCACTGGATGGGGAGTCAGGACACTTGAGCTCTTGAGTAGCAATAGAAATAGTGGTCAAGAGTATGGAGCCTGATTGCTGGAGATCAGATCTCAGCTCTGCTACATATTAGCTGTGCGGCAAGTTACTTAACCTCTCTGTGCCTTGGTTTTCCCTCTGTGAAATATAGATAATAATCCTACCTTGTATGGGGGGCCCTAGCTGGGCCCCTAAGTTGCTGGATGACCGCGAGCAAATTATTTGCTTTCTCTGGGTCTCAGGCTCTTCCTCATATTACTATGGCATCAAGGGAGGTGGGACAGATAAAGTCCAAAGATGTTTGGCAGGGTTGTTCCATAGGATTTCAGTCCCGCCCCCTTCACCACCCCCCCCCCGCCCCATTTTCCATGGCCCTGGCTGACTACTCACCGATGATGATGCTGCAGGTGAGCAAGGCATAGAAGGAGGTAGTCTGCTTGAGCAGCAGGTAGGAGAGCAGCACATTGAAGACGGTGGTGAGGGAGCGTCCCACGTTGTAGAAGGCCACGCCCACGTACTTCAGGCAGAGGTTATTGAAGGTGATCATGCCGATAAAGACAACTGACAGGGGCAAGATGCTGCGGGCTACCCTGAGGTCCAGGCGCAGGGTGGGGAAGTCCACCGCACCAGGGCAGCAAGCGGCCAGTGTGCTGAGGCCTTTGCATAGCAGCGTGGTCACCAGACACTGGTAGAAGGTGACAAAGATGGGGGTGTTCAGCTGCAGGGAGGGGCTGTCCAGTAGGTATTTGTTAAGAAACACCATGGAGATGGAGGTGACCCAGTAGAGAGAGACCACCAGTGCGATCTGCAGTGCCCGAAGCAGAAAGGGCTTCTCCTCGCTGGCCTCTGCATCACTGGAGGGGTCGGAAGCCCCCATCAGCGCCATGTGCAGGATCTTGGAGCGCTTCAGGGGGGCCCTGTTCATGATAGCAGAGGAGCTGGGTCACCCTATAGCCAGAACTGATTTACTGGAGTACAGAGCAGTGAGCTCGCTTCTTTCTGCAAATGAAAGCCCTCAACTGTCACAAGGGGTAAGGCCTAGAGGCTTCTCCACCGTCCTCTTGGATGGGAGGTTCTTCTTTGGGGTGAGCCGCACAACCTGCTCCCACCCTGAGGGGGCACATGAGATAGGACAAAGGGAAGAGGTGGCGATCATGCAAATGACCTGTCAAGGAAGAAAAGGCTGGGGCCTAGTAGGGAGGAGTTGCAGGAAGAAGGGAGGGGAGAGGAATGGAAGGCGAGAAAAGGAGGAATGCAGGGCGAAGGTGCTTGAAAAGAGCAGAAGACGGCGTGGGGAATAGGTGCCGAGAGAGGGAGGCATGGGCTGCTGTGGATAGTTTGCAGGGAGAGAGGGGGAGGCCTGCAGGGAGCTGAATGGAGGGAGGGCGTGCGGGGAGTCTGGAAAGAGGGGTGTAGGGGAGGTCAGAGGTGCTCTAGACGGGGTCCGAAGGCCGCAGGGAAAGGCCAGGCCGGCGGTAGCCGTGGCGTTCTGCTTTCTCCGACGCAGGATCCGGCTCAGCCTGAGAGTCGCAGGACATCCGAGGCCGCTCCTCCAGCGGGGCGGGCCCGGGACTCATTTCCTGACACGCCCCCAACTCCTTGCTTAAAGAGCCCGCAGGCCAGATGTCACGCTTAAAGCCGTAACCCCAGAGAATCGGCCTTCAGAGTCAGGCTTGCATCGGGGTCTCTGCCGCCTCCCAGCCCATGTGCTCTCCCCGCCAGCTGATGGTGGGGGATCTCGGCAGCCCCGGAAAGTTCCTATGGGTGCTTGAACCTCGGCCTCCTTCCTGCAAGCCCTGCCAGCTCCGTCTCCTCCCGAGGCTAAATCCCTCTAACTCCCTCTATTGGGCTCTCCTGCAGGTCCACTACGTCCCGGATCCCCCGGCCTGACTGCGCCCCACCCGCGAGCCTTGGCACCGTCCCGCGTCCCTCCGCCGCTAGAGACAACCCCCAACACCCCGGAGCCCCGAGTCCTCTCTACCCAGCCCCAGCTCTCTCTTCCCAAACCTCGTTGCAGTTCCCTCCTTTCATCCGCTTTCACGGCTCCCAGCCATTTTCCAAACCCGAGATTCCCAGCAGCGTTCCCAGAGGTCGGAGGCCGCACCGCCCCGGCCAAACCTCAATGTGTCCGCCGGGTCCTCCATTCGAGACCCTTCTGGCGGCTGGGTCGCCAGACACTGGTAGAAGGTGACAAAGATGGAGGTGTTCAGCTGCAGGGAGGGGCCTCAATGCACTGCTCCTTCCTCGGGGTTCCTCCCCCTGGCAAAAACCCACCTCACGCCTTGCCTAACCGCATGCTCCGGCGCCCTAGCTGGCGTTCCGGAGCCGCTACCCGCGCTCACCTCGTCCTCTGCACCTGCTGCCTGTGCACCTGGAGCTCCGCACCTGCAGCTCCGCACCTGCAGCGTTGCGCGCAGCGCGGCTCCCGAGGGAAATGACTTCCTGTTCCCAGTCCTGGGCGCGGAAGCCGAGCGTGCCTCACTGGCTGGTTCCACACGTGGGGCCCGGGAGTGGCGAAGGGGCGACCCGGGCTCTAGTCTGTCCTCGGCCCCGGGTTATCTCGCCGGTCACGGGAGCAGGCCTCCTCTTCTTTCGAGGGCACCCAGCCCCCGGTACCCCACCCCGGACAGCCGCCCAGAATCCCCCGCTCCAGTGACCGCAGCTTGCATGTCCCAGGATCCGGCTGCATCCCCTTGGCCCGTCGCGCAACCGGTGTGAGCTCTGCCCCAGGCCCTGTCCTCTTCCACCAGCCTTCTGGTCCTCGCTCTGTGATGAAGCCCACACTTCCCCTTCCTCTAGGGATGGGACTTCTTGCTTTCTGGTTATGGTCTGGTTTCCAGGTGGAGGATGCCATCTGGTCTCCTTGTCACCTTTGGGATCAAATTATCCATTTGAGGAAGGAAAGAGACTTAAAGGGACTGAGCCAGACATCTGAATCCTATTTGGAGAGTCTCCTTCCAGGGCCAATCTTTGAAGGTTGTAGGTTTCAGTTTATGAAGAGCAATGCCTGCTTGAGTCTCTTCTCTCTTAGGCCTGATATTTCGCCATGGGAAATAATTTAATGACAGAGTAAGCTTGTCTCTGAGAGGCCCTGGTTTCCTGAAGGGCCCTTCTCCTTGGCACATTAACAGGAATTAATTTATCTGAATAACGTGCTGCCATTGAGCCCCCAGGAAAGAGATACATTCACTGAGAGATGAGGACAGCCCATGCTGGGTGTGGGGCACCGTCTGGGCTCCCCGTGGGCCAGGAGACCAAAGTGTATCCCTGCCTCCAACCTCTCTCTCCTCTTACATTCTACCTGAAATTCCATCATTAGCTTCACTCCTTTGCATTAAGGTTGTAATAGGCTAGTATAGTAAACTTCACAGATTTCAATCCTTTTTGTTCTTTATGAGGGAAATGGGATGTGGGATTGTTTCTTAGGGATCTAAGGCCTCAGGAGTTATGCATTGTGCAAAAATTGTTTGCTTTTGTGTTTTCCTTAAGGAATGTTCATTGTTTAAATCATCCATAAAGGGTGAAGATTTAGGTTTTTTAAGAGTAGTTACCTGGTGTGGGAACTTGGTGTGAGGAGGAACGTAAGACCGTTGGTGTGTCAGATGGAAGGCTGTAATAAGCCAGGGAGTAGGAGCCTTTATAGGTATAATTCTATTTCCTTGCATTAGCTGGGAGCCACTGATGATGGCAGAAGAAGATGATTTCTACCAGACAGGGTGAACGGAATTAACTTCCCAGGTATAGGGAACAGTGATCTGTACCAATAGAACCTGAGAGCTCCTGGGAACACATGGATGTTGACTAGTTCACCCCTGAGTTCAACAAGGACTCACAAGCTTACTCTATGTGGCGGACACTTCTAATTATCTACTAAAATTTATTCTCCTATTAGTCCAAAATAACTGAATGGTAGTCATTTGGTTGCCCAGCCAGAGGCTACATAGCACATTTCCCAGCCTCCCTTGTGAGTAGGTGAACCATGTGACTTAGTAGATGGTAAAGGGAGGTGATGTGTGCTACTTTCCAAGTCTGAGCCTTAAAACTTTAGGTGACCAATGTCACCATAACACAAAACAAAACAAACAAAAAAAACTTTAGGTGTGTTCTCCTCCATGTTCTCTCCTCCATGTTCTCTCCTCCTCTTCCCATAACCCAAGACCCAAATATGTCTATAACCCAGGCATAACCATGCAGATGAGGTCAATGTCTTAGGGTTATGAGTCCAAAATAACTGAATGGTAGTCATTTGGTTGCCCAGCCAGAGGCTACATAGCACATTTCCCAGCCTCCCTTGTGAGTAGGTGAACTGTGGCTTAGCGGATGGTAAAGGGAGGTGATGTGTGCTACTTTCCAAGTCTGAGCCTTAAAACTTTAGGTGACCAATGTCACCATAACACAAAACAAAACAAACAAAAAAAAAACTTTAGGTGTGTTCTCCTCCATGTTCTCTCCTCCATGTTCTCTCCTCCTCTTCCCATAACCCAAGACCCAAATATGTCTATAACCCAGGCATAACCATGCAGATGAGGTCAATGTCTTAGGGTTATGGGAGCAATATGATGGAAAGAGCCAGGGTCCCTGATCGTATGGAAGAGAGCCACCCGCCAATGTGGATTGCCTACCTTGAGACTGTTAGGTGAGAGAGATATCAACTTACGTCCTCTGTGGTTATAAAGGAGTCTCTTTGTTACAGCAGCTAGGCCTTTTACCCACATACCCACTATAGACTATATTCTCTTCTCCTCACATATGTATTTTCTAGGCAAAATTGAGACAGCATGACATTGTCAGTCTGATCTGTCTCTCTCTTTTGGTTCTCTCTCAGTTTATCATCTGTCTGTTGTCTGTCCGTCCATCCATCCATCCATCCATCCATCCATCCATCCTTCTATCCATTAATCAACCCACCCACCCATCTATTCATCCTGTCCTTATCCAGGACCTACCTAGCACAATGCCTGCCATAGTAGATGCTTAGTACCTATTTATAGAATGAATGGAAGTCAGACCTCTGGTAGGAGTGCTTGAAAATCGAGATCGGTTTAAGACCTTTATTGGCCCTAAGCCCTGAAAAGTTTATAAGGCTCTTCATTCATCCTATATGAAATTCAAAATGAAAATTAATACTAAACTGTAAAAAAATGTAAGAGGAGCAAAAAGTGTTCTGATTTTTCTCATGAGGATTGGGATGTTCTTTTGAAAAAAAATTTTTTTTTTCCAGAAAAAGAAAAAAAAACCAAACCTGTCTTTTCTTTGCTGGCACCTGTGGTAGACACTACTAATAGTGTACCCCTGAAGTTGGCTAACTTTTTCTGTAAAAGACTGAAGAGTAAATATTTTAGACTCTGTGTGCCATATGGTCTCTGTCGCAACTACTCAAAACTGCTGTTGGAACAAAGGGGTGCAGCTGTGTTTCAATAAAACTTTATAAAGACAGGTGATGGGCTGGATTTGGTTCATTGATTGTAGTTTGCTGACCCCTGGTTTACCCTATATTAATTTGTTCTTCTTCCTTACTAACATTACCCATATTTTGTTTGTATGCCAATGTGTCCACCTACAACTACTTATTCCCCAGACTCCTTTGCAGCTGGATGTTACCACGTGATGCTATTGGCCAATGAGTCATAAACTGAGGATTTTGGGGGAAGCTTTTCCTTTCTTAATATAGATACAGTATTTGTTGCTTCTTTTTCTCATACATTCTGTCTTAAACGCAAACCTGAGATCTGGAAGGGCAGCAGCCATCTTGTAACTATGAGACAAAGATATGATGAGGAAAGCTAAGGATGATAGAGCAGAAACATGGAGAGAGCCTGAGTCCCTTAGAGCTTGGAAGAACTGCCATTGGCTGGCTCTCGGTCTGAGGCAGCAATGTAGGGGGTACAATTATCAGAGATTGAACCAAAGCTGCAAAGCTACAGATGGGGTGGAGAATATCAAAGGCAGGGCCCACTTGCCAGATGAGGATTATGAGAAAGAGGGCCAATACCAGGACAGGCAAATCTCAAAATCTGAGCTGCGTGGCCATGGATGAGAGCCTATTAAAAAAAGAAGTCCCACTGTGGGAGAGGGGTTCTGCAGGCAACAGTGGGAAGCTGCAGAGGTGAGCAAAGGGCTGGCTCCTCTTTAACACTGACATCTACCAGAGACATCACCTTTATGTCCTGGGCTGGCTTCTGCTAAGCACCTAGTTTTGACCTCTAGGATAACAAAAAGCGTTTCTCCTCCACATTTCTGCAATATGCACCCTGGTAATTTCCAAGTGGGAACAATATCTCCCCAAATTAGCTAATCTATGGGCAGTAACAGTGTTAGTCCCTCTGGTGTGTAGTATGATGCTTGGCACATAATATGTGTTCTGGGTTAAATAGTGTCCCCCTTCAAATTCATCATGTCACCTTATTTGGAAATAAGGTTTTCGCTGATGTAATTATTTAAATCAAGATGAGTTCATACTGGTTTATGAACTCATAAGTTAGACTCTAAATCCCATGACTGATGTCTTTATAAGGTACAGGGGTTTCCCATAACCTCCTTGCCCCAACACATGCATAGCCGCCCCCATTATCAATGTCCCCCACCAGAGTGGTACACTTGTTAAAATCGATGAACCTATAGTGACACATTGTAATCACTCAGAGTCCATAGTTTACATTAGGGGTCTCTATTGGTGTTGCACGTTCCATGGGATTGGACACATGTACAGTGATATGTATTCACTATTATAGTATCATACAGAGTATTTTCACTGCTGTAAAACACCAGTTAAGTTTAAGTCTGGTGGGGGAAAAAATAACTATTTCTTAGAAGTCTCGAGGTCCACTCTGATTGGTCTGGCCTGGGTCATGTGCCCACTCTTGACTAATCGTTGTATCTAGGCAGATAAACCAGCCTCTGGCTTAAGACCTTCATGGCTAGCTCCACCACCTCTGAACCAGACCAAGTGGTCTGAAAGTGGGCGTGGGGTGTTGCCAGAAGCAGGGAG